AGCTCCAGGAGCAAAGGATTCCAGGTACACATAAATTACTCCCCTTTAAATAACAGCATAGTACTTTTATGCTGAAGGCTGAATTAAGATATTTGAGAATTTGTTGTTTACTACCCATCTCAATCAGCTTCTTCTTTACCCCTTAAAAAGCAGAGAGAGATGCACAAAGGCTGTCAGGTAACCAAAGAGGCTGTGTTTGGTTCTCCCAAGCAGGGAGGGAACTTGACTTCTGTGCAGATTTCCCCATGACTGAAAGCCAGGACTACCTGCATGCATGCTGTTAGGGCAAGATTCTAGGACACCAGAATTGTTAAAAGAGGAATGAGCACTATGGAAAACCCATGCACTGCAGCCCCTGAAGAGACAACTTCCGTGGCTTCAGTCCTCCCTGTTTAACTCCTCGGCCGCTTTGCCAAGATGTTAAATGCATGAACCAAACACAACGGTCTACGTAAGGAGGACTCAGGCTGCTTGGTACAGAACAATTCTTAGCATCTAATTTCTCATATGCCATCAAATTAGTATGAGCTCTGGTTACTTATGCCATGAGCCAGATTCATACAAGGACCCAATAGGTAAAAAGCTCTTTTGCCCTCTGTACAAACTTGCCGTTATACACCGATACCTGGACAAGGGTCCCTCCATTGGCTCAGGCATTCTAGTATCCAGAGAAGGGAATCATTTGCATTAAAGCCTGGGAGCCGAGTTCTAAAACTGTATTTTTATAGAAGCCTATTAAACAAGGCATTTGTGCAATTAACCAGGCCTGTCTGAAAGACTTTTATTAGCAAAATACCCAACTATTTAATTTATTCCTCTTAAGCCAGATGGTCTCAGAAGAATGCAAATCCCAGAGGAAAGTTCTGAACTGGCTGTGCTCAGCTGTCACTTGTGACCCAACTGAGTTTTACCACCCACTCATCTGTCTCTCTATCAAATCCTTCATATCCACTGTTATAAGAAAGGCACAAACCCACTCTAGCGTTCTTCCTAGATTACCACTCTAGTGTTCTTACTGAATTAACTACAATGGCTGGATTTGCTACATCAACTTTCTTTGGCTAGACTTTGTATAAGACTTCAGTATATTCTGTGTTCCAACTGTTGTGGCCAAAATGTAGCAAAGCACCACTGTTAACACATAACAGGGATGTATCAGGCTGTACAGTACAGCACAAACTGAAATGTATGCAAAACAAATTGAAAAATGTGTGTTTTTTTCTCAGTCAGGTCTTGTTTTTGCTACAGTGCAGCATCCCCTATTGCTATATTAACTGCATCAATAACAATCTTACATGGAAACCTGGAGGTGGTTTCACTCACAAAACACAACTGCATGTTTATTATTGAGTATCAGGTGTTATTAGAAATGTGAACTTCACCCATTTCCCTAAATGTGTCTAAGAACATTTAAAAAGAGCTAAATCCCCATTTAACTTCTTGAGTTTTCAACTTTGATCTTTGAGCTAAATCAAAATACATGCCATCTTTATTGGGACAACAGGCCAACTTAGCCCCCAAGTGGGGTCCAGCAGTAGCATTCTGGCTACAAGGCCTTCTGCTGCCACAAGAGCTGGGGCTGCAGAGAGCAACTGGGGCTAGTATGAGAATTGCCGCACTCGTCCTTAAACCAGATTTGCACTGCTTTGGAAAGGCAGCAGGTACAGGATCCAACCCAGGTTACAACAGAACAGGCATCAGCAAGCCTTAGACCAGGAAAAACAGTCACAATTTTTTAGATTTAACACATGCAGGCAATGCAAACTGCTTTTCACACAAAGAAATATCCCCTGTTGTTTGCCCCACCCAAAAGCTGCAATACCGGAAAAATGAAAGTGAAACTAACTAAATAAGTCTCTCGATTTCATTTTCCAACATAAATATTTAAAACAAAAAACCCACACGTGGCAAGAATCTGCAGCTGTCAGGGCAAGCAATTCTTGGTCATAAAACAGTTTAAAAGCAGGATTAATTAAGAGTGCTCCCTTAAACATCTTTTCATTTGAAAAGGGATTCCCCAAAAAGCTTACTGGTCAATAAAAATCTGCCTGGTTTTCTACTTGCATAGGATTCTACAGATTGGGGTTAGATTAGAAAAGGAGAGAAAATAGGTGGTTGTATGTTTTCTGGGCCTGAGCCAACAGGGTTGGGGGCCTCTGGATTTACAACAAAGCAAACAGGGACTGTATGTGTAGGCACTGGAATCAGCAGTGGCTCCATGCAGCTTTAAATGCACTGACCCAATGGAATTATGAATATTTGGCTGGCAAAAATGCTCTCCCATGCCTAGGCCAGAAGTAAAATGCACAAGAGAATCCCCTCCCATTTTGGACAGTGTCTGTATACCTTCAGAGGGTGGGAGAATTTCCTATATACTTAACCAGAAACACACACACACACACAGACCACCACCAACCACTTCTAGATTCTGGCCACTTTAATTTTAGGCTGCCACGTTCTATAATACTAGGCTATGTTAACCTGTCATCCCAGGATAATTACTCATGAGAGCGAGACATGTGCCAGTGAAGTAGAATATGATCCAGAAGGCAGACAAGGACTGCATGTACTTGATCTTCACAGGAACATTTTGAGTGGAGGTAATTTCTTTCAATTTGCATAGGCAGTCTTTCCTGACACAGTACCAAGGAAGTTGCATCCCACAACTATATATGAAGACAAAAATTCACAAGCTGGTAGTAGCACTCCTCAAAGTTCAATTTCCCCAAGGCTGCAACAAAAAAGCTACAAACATGAATCATTATGTGGTTTATCTTCCGATGGCAAGCTCTTTCTGGTAATGCCACTTAAGGACAATGATGAAGGTGAGAGAGAAAAGCTGGCTTGGCCCTTTTTTTTTTTCTTTTTTTTTTTTTTTAATAATCCATAAGTTTTTTGTAATATAATAGCCTGGTACCCTCTTAAGCATCCCACGTTATTCAACCCAATGTACAATGTAAATAAATATATCATTCCACATATAATGTACATCTCCAGGCCAGGGAACTAAAAGCAGCATTACTGCAGAGTTTTTCAGAAGTCAGGCAGGAGGATTCAAAGCTCTGCTCCCAAGCTACAAAGAGGCAGGGAAGACCAAATAAGAAAGTATTAGTCGCCTTAGCACAGGACTTCCTCCCCTACGCTTCTTAAGTGGGTTATGTTTTATGTCTATCCCTTTTTTTTGACCTGTGCTTCAGATACAATACTATCAATTCTTTGGTTAGTCAAAGCAGATGCAGCCTGTTGTCTTCTTCAGCTCTATCACAAACCATCTGATGCCAAACACAATAAGGTTTTGTCCAAGCTCCCCACTGCAACATTGCAACCACTGCAACATTGTTGACATTGCATAATGTCAACACTATCAGTCATATGGTTAACAGGGGTCCCAGGGATTCATTTCCTGGGAATGCATTCCCAAAACAACCAACCTCCTGCACAACACAGGCAACAGAATTAGCCAGTAAATCTTGCACCACTCTCTACTTCAGCTAGAGCATCTTTTTAAAATGCTATCCAACCTGTGTTTTAAAGAGACTTCAGGGACAGAATCTACCATATCCCTACGTAACAAGTCATACTAGTTATCCTTCTATTAAATACACATTCTAAAAGCCTCAATCCTTTCTATCCATCTTCCCAAAGACAAGCTTAAACCCCTCTATCCACCAAAGCCAAAAGATGCCTCAGACCACATCATTTTGACACTGTGGCAAGATTCATTCATCACCCTGAAACTTAATACCATTCAGGGTATTCTGGTGGATGCCACTCCTAAATGCCTGTTTTCAGAGACGATCCGAGCAGGGTGCAGGGCCCAGGGCAAATCAGCCTGCGCAGGGCCCCACGCCCAGACGCAAGGAAGCTGGCAGCAGATTCAGCAGGGGGGAGGGGGGGGGGCGGCACCAGAAGCAAAGCCAGCAGCAGCACAGAGTCACCGCACCAATCCACCTGGCTTTGTGGGGCCCCCTCAATGCACGGGGCCCAGGGCGATCGCCCAAATTGCCCCCCTCTAGGGATGGCCTTGCCTATCTTCAACAGCTTCAGAAGCATTCAGCCCTGCAGAGTGCTAAGTACAATTCCTATTCACCCCTACTGTAAAATAAAGAACTGTAGCCCTTTTCACTGTGCTACAATCAGATCCTAAGACTGATCCAAAAAAACACATCATCCAGAAGCAATCTGGTATCTCTCCTCACTTAACACCCTCTTTCTGTTCTATTCTTTTGCGGCAGGAATGGATAGAATTGAACAAAAATATTACAAGTAAGAATACAAATGGACATATAGGGTTGCATGCTCCCCATCTTATTTTCTAGGATCTTATTTTTTACCACTGCTCTTGCTAGTTTCCAAAGGGCAAATTGTGAGAGTGTTTGTTTGTTAATTAAAAAGGAAAAAGCTTGCATCTGTTTCCTCTGAATCTCATGTCTCATCTTGGATTTGCACCAACTCGTGTCTGTTAATCTACCAATTCTTCTGCAGCAAGTAAACCTCCCCTCTCTTCAAAATGTACTTCTCTTAGCCGGATAGATGTTTCAGCAATTCAAAAGTGCAAACCCATACTAAAGTAGAAAACTGCCCATTCTTGGGCATTGGTTCAATAGTGACAGGGAATGGACATTTCAGGTTTTCTTAAGAGCTATGCAAGCTACGCAAAAGTCTCAAACCAAATGTATGGAACAAACTTCTCCCCCCCCTCCCCAAACACTGGCCAAGACCTAGACAATTTTTTCTATTAAAATATTGCTCAGGCTACAAAAAACATTATTTGCCCTCCATGACAAAAAATGGATTTATACTGACACAAATCTATTTCTCTTACCAGCAGGCAAGCACTTCTGACAGGCTGAGTCAAAGCATCTGACTTAATTACTTAATTCAACTAATTCAGTAATAATATCCATTTAAAACTAAAGTACCTCATTTTGAGGACAGACGTATATAAATAGGACTGAATTTATTTAAAAAAACTGAGCAAGTGAAAAGAATAACTTTACCTGCAGGCAGGACAGCCTCCAACTACTACAACAGAGGTGGTGGTAGCAGGCTGCTGAATGATGGTGTACGTATTGGGATAGTTATGCTGCGGCGGGCCTGACGGAGCACCATATCCTAGAAAAAAAAGAAATGCAAGTGAATTACTGGGTATGAAATCTTCACATATTTAAAACAAGAACCAGAAGGGGCAGCAAAAATTCCATCAGCCAATGATAACATGGGAAACAAGGTCCATCCTTCCACAAAGGAAAGACACCAGATGCTAGAGTATCTGGTTAAAATGAACAAAAGGACTTACCATCTGGACAGGACTCAAAGAACTCAGTGTGCAGCAAGACTGACTCCTGAAGTGTTTGGGTCAGGATTTGGGAGCTCATACACAACAGCTTGTATCAAAGGTTGAGCTAGAACACTTAAAACACCACATCTCCTAGCAAAAGGACTTTACAGACCTGAATATGCAATGCAACTTCAGCCCAAACTGCACAGAAAGCTAATAATTAACTTCAAGCACTCAGCTTGAAAAGTCTTCAAAATGCTATCAGAAAAGAGGAAGGGGGGGGGGAAAAGGGAACACAGTTCAGCTGAACAACAGTCACAACTTTCAAGTCTGGCTGTTATTTATTAGCTATCTGTCCCACCAAGGCACACATACCAGTTGAGACAAAATGTGCCCCTCTCTTTCTAGCCAGATACTTTCTAGCCAAGTTAAACTGCAACTAATACAAAACACAGGGGAGGCAGGATACAGTGAAAAGGAAATAGAGGAGCACAATAAGAAATGAAGTCTCCTGGAAAACCCAATCAGCCCAACTAGTATGCAAACTGTGTTTTTAATATATGTATTTACAAGCATAAACAACTTTACAAATAGTTACCGTGCATCCATTAGAAAAGCAATGACAAACTCTATACAACAATGTCATCAATGTATTACCAAATCGGAGGGCACACCCAAGGCACATTTAATAAACTCCTCAGAATAACTCCACTTCTGCTTTCTTCCCTAGCAAATCACAGAAAAATATACTAACTTAGTGGCGGTGGTGGGGGATGGAGGGCAGGAATCAGTGACTGAGAATAACAGTTGGGTTTTTTGCAGGCAAGTACACTCTGAACTGCTATGTATCATCTTTAAGCTCAACTTTTTGAGATTCAAGCACAAGCACCAAAAATCAAGCGGACCAAATCACAGTTCACAATGTCAAGCATGTCCTTGAATCTTTACAGGATCAGAGCCCAAGTCTAAGCACATGATTTTTCCCTTTGAACCTAATCACTAATTTTGCAAATGGGAGGGGGGGAGATGATCCAAGATGAAAAGCTGCCAATGATGTTGTCTAGTTTGTGTTTTAACTAGATCAAAGTGCCACCAACCTCACAGCCAAGACGGTGGACACGCTCACCTGCTGGGGATCCAACACGAGTGCATTTACATGAGCGCGGACATGCAAGCAGAAGGTAATATGATGGAGGTGGCTTTGGAAAGAAGGAATCAAAATTCAAGTGCTACCACGAGTCTCTGCGCACTGTCCCAACAACAGCACCCCACCTCAAACCAACGGCAGGCTCTGACCTGCACAGCAACTCGGTGATTAAGGAGCATCTTCCAGAAAGCAAAGCACAACTGCAGCGAGGTAAAGGAGAACACCCCTCCTCAGCAGCAGTCTCAAGCAGGGGGGGAAGGCAAGGTACTGGGTATCACCTGTAACTTCACCACCAATTGCTCTATACTCCAGGCCAAGCATTCAACATGGGCAAACCAGTGACCCGCAGCCAGGGCACCGCAAGCCCCTGTGGTGCCCCCAGACCCCCTCAAGGGTGCCAAGCAAGCGTGATGCACAACACAAACCCGAGGATTTCAAAAGAGGAGTGCACAGCGCTAAAGCAATGGCAGTCTTTCCTGCCCAAGCTCAGAGGGTTTGGACCCAACCTCGTGCAAGCCCCCAACAACGATGAAGCTATAACCGTGCCGCAATCCCGGGACCCAAGGAGCGGCTCTCTTCTACTCCGCGATTCCCTGCGGCCACAACAAACACCCGGCACTTCCCGAGGGCTGGAGGCGGGCTGAGGGGCAGCCAGGCCGCGGGGCGCTGCTTTCCCGAGCCCCCAGCTCCCCGCGCCCGGACCCGGGCCCGGGCCGCCACCCACCTGCCGCGGGGTAGGGGTAGGGCGGCGGCGGCTGGAAGCCGGGCTGCGCGCCGGGGATGGCGCCGTAGTTGCTCTGCCCGTAGTCGTGCGCGGCCGGGCTGTAGGCGGGGGGCCTGTCCTGCAGCAGCGGCTTGTTGTCCATGCTGGGACGAGCCCGGCCCCGCTCAGCGCCCGACCTCCCGCCGCAGGCGCCTCATGCAGCTCAGTGACCCCCGCCCCGCTCAGCGGCAACGTGGTGAAGGCAGCGGCGGCGGCTGCTGCTCGGGGCTGGTCACAAGACCCAGCTCATGTGACGCGGCTCCCGGCGGGGCAGGAAACCCCGCCTCACGCGGCCGGGCCGGGTCGGGCCCAACTGCGCCGCGCGCGCCGCCCACCTGTTACCGCGCACGGCCCAGGCCTGAGGAGTGGCGCTGGGGCTCGCCTTCAAAGCAAGGGGGGGGTCAGTTTCCTTTGTAGTAATGGTGACAAAAGGCCTTATCCAGGCCTCTGAGGTTTTAACAACCTCACTTGTCCCAAGGGCCCTCCCCTGAGGTGGCCAGCTGGGTCTGCGCACAATGAAAAGATCACCAGCTCGGGACGGAGGGATGGACCTGAGGGAAGGGAGGGGATACGGCTACTCGCTTCGCGTCGTCGTTACGTTCTTGAAAAACGACGTTCAGGGAATCCAGTTGCGTCACAGTAGCGATGCCTGTAGGCCGCTGCAACCAAACAACGTCACACGTGAACCTCGCAGGACTTTGAACGAGCGTCTTGCCCAATAGAGCCGCCGGGGTGTAATCATCACGCTAACCGGGACGACGTAAAGTGAGGAGTGCCTGTGTTTGGAGACAGCCCTATATGCAGTGGTGTTAAGGTGATGCAGCCGCGAGGGTCTAGACATTACGAGAGGGAAGAGGGTTTCTTGGGGCGAGATTTTTCATCAGGCCAACTGTGTAGTAGGGATAAAGTTAGATGAGCTTTCGAATGTAAACCGTTCTGAGGAGGCTTACTTTTGAAAGCTTGTCTAAGTTTATCCTCAACTACATAGTTGGTCCAATAAACTGCATCACCCTAAGAAAACCTTGCCTGTCCCTGTATGCCAGCAGAAGCTACGTGATTTCGGCAAGCTCCATACGAGGGTAAAGTCAGTCTGCACGAACCCCACTGCAGAACGGTCGCATCAGAAGAAAAAATGAG